TTCCAAAAACATAGTACACCATATGTCATGTAAAGAAGTATCTGGAACAACTCTTTTCACGCATTGAACAACAGGTGTGTGATTTGGGGTTTTTAATGCAAAAAAATGAATCTCGTAGAAGATTTAAAAATACATCAGAAAAGTAAGATATTTTATTGGTAAATACTCATAAACTAATGTGTCCTAAATATTGTATAAGAACACGACTACGACCTTTTCATTTGATTTACTCTAAAATTTTGTGTCTATCTTCTTAGGATTGTCTCGGTTTTGCTTTAAATTTGCACATATTACTTCAAAAGTGTCGGACATATCTGTGATGGCGCCCTAATTTAATACATCCCGATATTATCTATACTTGTCTTAACTACATGTATAATGATTTTAATTTCACTGACTGGCTTATTTACCAACATTCCTGTGATAAGCGTAGTATTTAATCACGACACCTCACGCTGCTAGATAAAAAACTAAATAGAATGTAAACGTAAAATAGGCACATATTCAGCATGGATATATTTCACGTTTCTTTGAACATTTACAGTTCTTCCATACAAAGAAATTTGTAACTTTAATTGGTAAATGCTGTTTTGTCACCGAGTAGAATTTAACATAATAAACCAATCATAGGATTCTGTGATATTTTTAGTATGGACCACATATACAGTCAACATTTGAATTATATACATTTAAAATTGTTTTAACATTGTTTTTCCTTTCTGATTGCATGTTTTCTGACAGTTTCCCAATGCCAATGGAACGATAAACCACATTAGTTCATGACACACAAGGATAGCTCAAATATTTGTGTTTGCATCGAATTGTTTTCTAATTGAACGATCGATCTAAAATAACGCGATTTTGTTTTCTATAAATAGTTTGTGAAATACAGGGGGTATCCAGTATTTCTGGTTCAGACAATTTTCCCGATTGAATGATTCAAAACAATCCAACATTTTGATTCAGGGCCTTGTTTTAACTGTAACACTAATTTGTAGCACACATGGGTCAGGGTCACGGTGAACCAATAGAAATTCTGGACAATGGCAGAATTGCGAAAAAATTGCAGTTCAAAAGATCATGGAAAACATCTTACGGGGAATCAGTAACCGAAAAACAGAGGCGTTATGATATTTGCTTTACTAGTGTTTAAAACGCTCAAAAGGGTAAAGGGTGCATTTTGCGATATTTGATCTTAATTATTTCAATCACGGATTATATATTATATGTACTAAGTGGGTTTTTAATTATGGTACTAAATGAAAGAAAGAAATCAGTAAACAGATATACACCAAATGATACAATGCAGTAGAATCACAACAAACAAATATCAACAAAGCTCTATTCTGAAAACAATTGAAACTTTTACAGGTGCACACATGGACAGGTAAATAAACAGGAAAAGTATATAATAAAATATTTTTAAAATAATTGAGTACCTTGGTAGAAAAAATATAACACTGGGTGAAATTCAGAATGTCTTTATAAAGGAGAGACGCACTACAGACCAAATATTTATTCTAAAGGAAATAGCTGAAGGACGCAAATACAAAAATAAAAAATACTTATTTGACATTTTTGGATTTCAAAAGAGCATATGACACCATCTGGAGAGACGACTTATGGTATGCTTTATGGCAGAGTGGAATACAGGGAACATTGTGGAGAGTCATAAAACAGACATATTACCACATAGAAAGTAAGATATCATTTGGTGATATCGACACTGACAACTTTACACAGAACGAGGGTTTAAAACAGAGATGTGTTCTGGCTCCATTATTATTTTCACTTTACATCAATGAATTCAAAAAAATGCTTGATGAAACTTTACTTGGGGTTAACTTAAATGAAATACTGATTAATGGCCTATTTGTTGCTGATGAGATAGCACTTAATGCACCTAATGAAAGTCAACTAAGGGCAATGCTAAGCATAACCAAAAAAATTTGTAATTTATGGAAAATGGCAGTTAATGAAGACAAGTTTAATGTCCTAATCACAAACAAAAGAGTTGACAAACATAGAAAGTAGTTTATTGGAAAATCAAAAATAAAAGAAGCTGCTACAAATATTTAGGTTACTGGTTTACACGTAACCTTTCCGACCACAGCCACTGTACAAAAAATAATGTAATGCATTATTTCCAGTTATGAAAGCAATACTTTGTGGTCATAGAAATATTAATCGAGTAGAATATGGTTTGTCACTATGGAACCAGGTATTAAGGCCAGGTTTGGAGTGTGCTGGGGGAAATCCTGATACTTAGTGGGACAAACTTGGAGAGTTTAGAAAAAATGCAGCGTATGACAGGAAAATTCATTCTGGGTGCATGCAGAAATACTGCAAATGAGGCTGTACTTGGTGATTTGGGATTGTTCACAATGAGGTGTAGACTAGATATCATGAAACTAAAATATTACCAAAGATTATGTGATATGTCAGATTCCATATGGCTGAAAGTTATTTTTAATGTTTTGAATGATCAAAATGATGAAAATAACAAAAACAACACAACTTTCAGAATGTCCTGGAACTGGCCAAAATGTATTCATAATATCATAAAAAGTATAGAACTATCTAGATGAACATCAAGTTGTTAACTTTATTCAGCAGAAAATGAAAAAAGCTCTGGAAAAATTGATGAAGATAAGTGGAGAAAAAACATGGCAAACAAATCAAGTCTGATCCACTACATGAAACTTAAAACTGGGATCAAACATTGTGAAAAATATTTAAAATCATGATCAGTTGAAAATTATAAAGGTGCCCAGCTTAAATTCAAAGCAAGGTCATACACTTTAGGTCTTGCGTATGAGAAAAGAAAGTGGACAAATGAGAATAGTGATTATACATGTCCATACTGCACGAAAGGTGATGAATTATAGAAAAGATTATGTAGATTAGATTTATTTCCTGTTTTCACTTTTAGTTTAAAAGTTTCATTTGTTATACTTCCTTTAAGTTTTAAATGTTTCTTTTTCATTTATATATGTGCTGTTTCCAATAATTTTATTGTAGCTCATATTTACTCATTAGTGAGCCCCTGATGTAAAAGGGTAGCAACAAATAAATAATTCACAATCTTGAGAAACAATTCACTGGAAAACGGAAATAACTAATGACAAGAAAAATACAAAATATTCAGACGGCAAAAATAATTAAAAAATTGTAAACACAACATTAAACTAGATAAATACCTGACCAAACTAGAAAACAGTAAGCTACTATTAAATTGTTTGAAAATTGAAACAGGTAGACACAAAAAACTGATAACTCGTAATGAAAACAGGATTTGTTAATGATATGATAAAGAAGGAATAAAAGATTCCACTTCATTATTTGTTGTCTTATTTCTAAACGGCAAAGACAACGACAATACAAAGCTTCAAATCCATCCCTGGCGTTATGAACCGAAACAAGAAAACTAAATTAATTTTGATAATGAACGAAAATTACATATTTACTGAAAAAATCTATATTTATTGAATGCAACTTTTCCACAAGACAGCAACATCATTATATAGGTAGAGCAAGTTACATTATTTTATTATTTTTTTATTATTTTTAATGTTTGTTTTCTTAGCCTTTTTCTGTTCCTGTTGTGTAACTTTCGTGACCCGTTACTGCTTACCTCCCAGAGGGGGGGGGGGGGTTCTACTAATACTATATATATATTTTTTTATATAATGATGCATGATCGTCTAATGTTACATATTAAGAAAGAATAGTCGCCACGACTATGCCCATCCACGGTTTCCGTAGCCTATAATGCGAAATACTCGTATTTCAAGTTGCGTTCTTGTAGTTGTTGATTCGAAACAAAAGTATATAAGAGTGGTGGCGCTGTTCACATGAGCGCCATGTCTGTTTAGAGACGAAAACAAGATGGCGGAAGATCAGGTAAGTGGCATCATTTCCAGCGTCACGTTTTCGCAACGCACTTTATCAGCTAAAATTGCTTACGTGCGACTTGCATTCCACGACTCGCAAAAGAAACTGCCAGTTGTATTAGTTAGAATTTGTTGAAAACTTCGGTTTCACTGTCGGATCATCATTACAGCATGACGTGACTAAAGTCGTATCGAAACTGCGTTTGTCATAGCAGTAGCACCATGTGTGCGTTTCACGCATTTGGTCTCCGATACTGCAATACATCGCTCTAAAATTACAAAAACAGCACTATACAACTAAGTATTTGTTGTTCGCACCACAAATATGGACGGAAATGTTGCATCGATCAAAACGTCTCCTTGGACGGACGGGCCGACGGCGTCGTCATCGTCGTCGTCGTCTTTGGTCTTAAGGCACTCCCCTGGTTGATGGTATAAGTTCCGCCCGAACTCGTGTTAATTTAAGGATAGTCAGAACGATGTCCAACTTAGCCATCGTAAAACACAATTTGACACTCTTCTGGACAGATGTCTACATTTCAACCCATTTTCCATATATTCTCTAAATAACAACAATATTTACTATGGGTGTCACAAACCTTCATATTTATATATATTCAATTTCAAAATTCAAATTAAAACGAGAAGTTTTTATTGGCCGATTGAATACAGTTATAAAAATGTGTCAGCTGTGAACACTAATTTTTCAATACACACTTGATGTAACTAAGTATCAGTTGCAACACATTTGGTTAATCTGTCTCAAACCTTGACTCTCAAATAATACTTCAACAACGCAATGTTGCTCCTGCCAAAACTACAAGTTCAGTGACCACAACAACCAAACAAACACTCCATAGCTACTCTCAATGATGTCCCCTGAATTCAATGATCCAGTCTGTACAGTATATTTTATTTGTATGGCATCTATGTTAGAGCAAATTCTGATCTGGCAGTTCTGTGATTTTACAACAACATGTGTTCAATGCTAATTTATAATTGTATAAATAAATAAATAAATATTTACAATATATAGTAAAACCAGTTTTCATAAAGCTGTGAACATTTTTTATGGGAATTTATAAAACATTCACCCCAGAAAAACACTCACATTATATGTTCAAATATAAAAGCTTTATATAAGTTCTTTGTCTTCCCCTCAACTATGGTCAAATTACATGAATCATTGATTCATCAGATTTGCTCAAAATGTTTCAAATTAATCGGTACAGTCATCTATAGAATGTTAAATTGCAAGACGTATTTATTTTTGTCTAGTGTGGAAACTGTCAGGATCATTGCATTGTGATTGGTCAAATGGTGTTTATTCAGGCATTGTGATTGGTCAAATGGTGTTCATTCAGGCATTGTGATTGGTCAAATGGTGTTCATTCAGGCATTGTGATTGGTCAAATGGTGTTCATTCAGGCATTGTGATTGGTCAAATGGTGTTCTTTCGTCATTTCCAATTAATAACAAGTTCAAGTATATTTTATATGAAATAAATGATGTGCTGTTATTAATCGTTCAGACGTAGTCTTGAAACAAGGACTTGTGGGTTGACCTCCATACCTGCATGCTTCCCCATCTGTATCTTAGACTTGCCTAAACCAAAAACATGCAAAGTTCACAGACATTATACATCTTGTGATACATATGCATGTTTATTTGTTCCATGATCGATTGAAGACAACATTTTCAATTTAAGAACAGAATCATATATGGATGGTTCTAGTTTTGCATATACATGTGACATGTATTATTTTTCTGATTAAGTTAAAAACTTGCAGCCAATTTTTTTTTTTGAATGTGGTTCATTGACTACCAGTAATCATGTTTAACCTTGATGTAACACATTATAAAATTGTTTGACGATGTGTTTCAAGATGGCCAAATGGTGGCCATTTTAATGTTAATAATGTATCAAAATCAAGCATTTCTGCCATTGGCTAGATCTTGCTTATACATAAACAACTATTGTTTAAACTTGGTATATACACTCAACATAACTGGGACATTTATGTCTTGTTTTTCATTAATCTTATTTTACTTTGCAGGAACTTGTCCAGTTAGAGGTGTTATGTAAGCAGCTATATACTACTGCCAATCCGAGTGAGCGCAATGAAGCAGAGAAAGCGTTGGTAAACTTTACCAATTCACCGGATTGTCTCAGTAAATGCCAGCTCCTTTTAGATCGAGGAAATGTAAGTGGCACTGTTTTTATTCTTTTTGTTTTACCATTCTTTTCACTGTACAGAGTGTAATTTTACTAAATGACATGCTCGGTAATATTTCACATTGTAGCCTGTCGTCTAAGGATTGCATTGTCTCTTGTGAGTCTTGTATGCAATTAAGTGGTTGTAATTTATGACGGTCACTAGATTTTTTGGAGTGTTAGTAAATATGGTAAATGTGAACAGGAAACGATTAATAGCAACCATCTCTCATATTGTCATTTTTGAAATTTTCATTTTGAGGTTTTCACTACAGTATATCTTGAAAAGGAAACTCAATTAATCGCATTCATCTAATAAAAAAAAAAATGACATGGCAGAGTTGACTATGACAATCACTGTGTTGTACACTGCTCTGTACATTGTACTTGCAGTAATGGATCACCATAAATACATGCAACCATTCGTATTGCCATTGCCAGCTGAAGGTCTCAACAGATAGCTGAAATGAATGAAATAAAAACTCAATTTGCAGCTGATGTGAAGTGTCTGCATCCTAATATTAAATTTAAGTGATTAAAAAAAAACAGTGTTATAACCGGACAAATCAGTAACAAAAACTAAACATCATCAGTTAAAATATTGACAACAAAATAAGACGGAATTACAAGAACAGTGTGTGGCATCATAATGTAGGATTTCCAGATTATCTGAATGGGTTGTAAAAACTCACTTGACAACATGCATTACTGTGATTGATGTATGGATACTAATATTTTGTGAACACTGATAGTCAATGATATCAAACTTAGGATACATGAATTGTTTCATTCCTCAACTTTTTGAAATTGATGATAGCACGATTTGTCTTACTGTTTCTAGATTAAATTATATATTATGTTGTCTCGAAACACTGAGAAATCTAGCATGTTTTATATGCAAATTAGATGTGCAATTTAGGCTAAAATAATAATGTTGAAGTTCTGATGGTTACCTTGGTAACAGGCTTATCAGTATTAAATAATTGTCTCATCAAGTCTTCAATGATTATATTGTTCAGTTCCTGTTTCAGCTGTTTGTACATTTCATTGGTCTATTCAGTTCACCATTCAAAATGAATAACCAAGAGCTTTTGTATATCAAGTGCTTTCATTTTGTCTTTTGCACTATAATTCAATTACCAAGAGAAATAATGTCAATGGAAAGTGATTTGACCCTGCTTATCCCGTAAATGTCATCATTATTGCCATGGCTGTCATGAATACAGATTTTATTTAATCATACTCACTCAGAAGTAAATAGTCGTGTACCTAATTGTGAAAAACAAAAACATATTATCTACTGACATGCACAATGATAAGAAAACAGGAATTTTATTTTTGCTGCTCAAATGCTTGTTTCTAAAATACTGAATGAATTGAACCTAAATTTAATAATGTGTTGAAAATGTATGAATAATTACTGATATGGCTGTTAGGTATTACAAGAAAATGATGAAAAAATGATTCAGAAAGGAATGTATCAAGAAATTATTTTCATCTTCATCAATTTTATTTCTGTGTACTGTACATAAGAATACCTGACTTGACATCATAATATTACACGATTTTATGAATTTTAGATGATTTAATTTAAAAAAAATATATACAAAATTGAAAGGTGACAAAATTATAAGAGTTTGAAGATTGGTAATTGTGTTTTGTTTGAGAAAAGATTCATTGTACTTTATGACATCACTCTATTAATAACAATGAGTGTCTGCTCTATTTTTAGTAAAAATAAAATCAATAAAACAAACACTGAATAGAAAATAATTTGTCCCTGTATATGAATTCTTCTTTGTGGTCAGTGACCCCAATAAACAAGATCACATTTCATACAAAATAGTTTCACAGATTATTAGCTAGACAGTATGGTAAATTATTTGAATTACATCACTTGAATATCTGTATTAATATGTGTATTTAACTTTTTCAGTATATAAATATAGTCATATTGGATTAGGTGTCAGTTCTATCATAACAATAGGGTCGACCTTATTGGATTAGGTGTCAGTTCTGTCATAACAATAGGGTCGACCTTATTAGATTAGGTGTCAGTTCTACAATAACAATAGGATTGACCATATTGGATTAGGTGTAAGTTCTATCATAACAATAGGGTCGACCTTATTGGATTAGGTGTCAGTTCTATCATAACACTAGGGTCGACCTATTGGATTAGGTGTCAGTTCTATCATAACAATAGGGTCGACCTTATTGGATTAGGTGTCAGTTCTACAATAACAATAGGGTCGACCTTATTGGATTAGGTGTCAGTTCTACAATAACAATAGGGTCGACCTTATTGGATTAGGTGTCAGTTCAACAATAACAATAGGGTCGACCTTATTGGATTAGGTGTCAGTTCTACAATAACAATAGGGTCGACCATATTGGATTAGGTGTCAGTTCTACAATAACAATAGGGTCGACCATATTGGATTAGGTGTCAGTTCTACAATAACAATAGGGTCGACCATATTGGATTAGGTGTCAGTTCTACAATAACAATAGGGTCGACCATATTGGATTAGGTGTCAGTTCTACAATAACAATAGGGTTGACCATATTGGATTAGGTGTCAGTTCTACAATAACAATAGGGTCGACCATATTGGATTAGGTGTCAGTTCTACAATAACAATAGGATCGACCATATTGGATTAGGTGTCAGTTCTATAAGAACAATAGGGTTGACCATAGTGGATTAGGTGTCAGTTCTACAATAACAATAGGGTCTGCCATAGTGGATTAGGTGTCAGTTCTACAATAACAATAGGGTCGACCATATTGGATTAGGTGTCAGTTCTACAATAACAATAAGGTCGACCTTATTGCATTAGGTGTCAGTTCTACAAGAACAATAGGGTTGACCATATTGGATTAGGTGTCAGTTATATCATAACAATAGGGCTGACCATATTGGATTAGGTGTCAGTTCTTTCATAACAATAGGGCTGGTCATATTTGATTAGGTGTCAGTCCTGTCGTAACAATAGGGCTTGCCATATTGGATTAGGTGTCAGTTCTATCATAACAATAGGGCTGGCCATATTGGATTAGGTGTCAGTTCTATCATAACAATAGGGCTGACCATATTGGATTAGATGTCAGTTCTATCATAACAGTAGGGCTGGCCATATTGGATTAGATGTCAGTTCTATCATAACAATAGGGCTGACCATATTGGATTAGATGTCAGTTCTATCATAACAATAGGGCTGGTCATATTTGATTAGGTGTCAGTCCTGTCATAACAATAGGGCTTGCCATATTGGATTAGGTGTCAGTTCTATCATAACAATAGGGCTGGCCATATTGGATTAGATGTCAGTTCTATCATAACAATAGGGCTGACCATATTGGATTAGATGTCAGTTCTATCATAACAATAGGGCTGGTCATATTTGATTAGGTGTCAGTCCTGTCATAACAATAGGGCTTGCCATATTGGATTAGGTGTCAGTTCTATCATAACAATAGGGCTGGCCATATTGGATTAGGTGTCAGTCCTGTCATAACAATAGGGCTTGCCATATTGGATTAGGTGTCAGTTCTATCATAACAATAGGGCTGGCCATATTGGATTAGGTGTCAGTTCTATCATAACAATAGGGCTGGCCATATTGGAATAGAATAGGTATCAGTCTTATTCGATGTAAGCCAATTTCACATCACATCACAATTTGCAAATCTAATTATTAGAACCTTATATACTCATATGTATAAATAATTGTTTTTAGTCCGAAAATGGGGACTTATGATTCAGTCTCCGTCCGTCCGTCCATCCATCTGTCTGGAGTCATATCTCAGAATCCCTTGGACCGATTCCGTTCATTCTTTGCATGTGTCTAGTACTTTATGTGGGACATATGCACATGCAGTGGTTTAGCGATTTGATTCAAAATGGCTGACTGGCAGCCATCTTGTTTTTTGAAAATGTTGTATTTTGGACATGCTTTGTCAGTTTTCATTCAAACATGGTACATAGATTATACATGTTAGGATACATGTCCATGATGATTTATTTCACAATTGGATCAAAGATGGTCGACTGGCAGCCATCTTGTTTTTTGTTTTTTATGTGGTATCTTGAACATGCTCTGTCAGTTTTCATTCAAATTTATACATGTTAGGATTCATGTCCATGACAATTTGTTTCAAAATCTGGTCAAGGATGGCTGATTGACAGCCATCTGACTTTTTGGCCTTACTACTATATTTTCACAATTTATGTACCATTTTCATTCGTATTTGGCACATACATCATACATATCAGTGTGTTTCATACTCAGATCAAAGATGGCTGATAACGGCTGTTTTTATTTTTGGCCATATTACTATGACACGAAACACATGTTTTGATGTAAATAAACAATCTGTTGTATATGCCACTTGGAACTCAAGTTTCAAGAACACGCTTGTGACAACCCCTCCGCTTTGATATGACGAGCACAAAGAGAACTTTCAACAATTTAACGGGGACTGTGTCATTTTCAATGACTTGTCATTATTGATGTTCTTATTCTATTATTGTTGTATGTGCATATCTTTGATTCACTGTATGTTTTTTCTACATGATACGCAGTCACCGTACTCTCAGCTACTAGCA